TAATTGAGCGTCAAAGTGCCCTGTATGCCCGACGCGTTTGATTCTCCTGCTCACAAGCAAACATTACGCAAAAGGTTTTGAGATGTGTGCGACAAACCGCCACTTTAAAGCCCACACAATCGACTTATGGTTTCATCTAGCGGCAATAACAACTATATTCTTACTTATGTGAAAAGTACATGCTGTGACCGTTAATCTGGGGATGACTAGTATCTGTGAGGCCCCTTTTCGCTCACTCAACTTCTCCCCCCAAGCACATCCCTAATACACTCTGCTCAAAAGCGGTTGCAGCATAGCCAGATAATATTTGAGACACAAGTGCCAGAGTATGAGGGCTAAGTAGATGAAACTACCCACACTTGCCCGAAATGATTTACTGAAAACTCTCTTTGCACTATTCTCACCGGATGGAGGGGCGGGAACGAGACCAAACGCTGTCATGTAGTTCCCGGAGAAGAGAGGAGGGAGCTGGGAGGGGACCGTGAGGACGTCAAGTGCCTTGCCCCCGGATTGCACGTCCCACTTCAACTCCACGTCGGTCAGCATCGGCTGGAGAGCCGCCTTGAGCACGGACATGTTGGTTGAGCGCAAGTTGTCGCTTAACAAAACACACAAGCAAAGTACTTGAGGTGAGAATGTCACATGTGGTTGAGGTCAGATCTCTGGTTAGCAAGGTGGGCTAAAAACAGCTGGTAATTATTTGTGAAAAGAGAAACACTTCAGGAAGTGAGCCAAAAATTCATCCACAGACAAGCCTTCGCTGCCGACGACTCAAGTCACCTTTGGCTGTTTTTGCCAATCGGAGCGAATTCTATGATCCCGGTATTTTAAATTTGCCAGAAATGAAAGTCAAATCAGCGCCAAGTCCACTTGTCGAAAGTGTACTAGATAACGATAACCCAGAATGGCACAAAATGTCAGCTGAGTTATACCATCGTTGATATTTACAACGGAAAGTCGCATGTGCAAATAAATGGGGCTGCAGATTGTTGTGGCAAAAAGGTCGACAAACGCATAATTTCATGGGAAACAATTCAGTTTTGAAAAAGATGTTTTGTTGAAGACCGATCAATTGGCAATCTACCCTGTTACACCATCCTGCGCCACTGTTCAATAGATGAATCAAAATGCGTGACATACACACGCACTTATACACGCGTGTTAATGGTACAGAGCATGGAGCACATGAATGCCACTCAATGGCTATTCCGCACCGCAACACTTCACTATCCAGCTGGCACAACAAGAAACCTACTGATGTGTTCGTTCTTGGATGACGACTTGACATGCTGGCCACCCAAAACGCGTCGTGTTAAATCCCTTCAAAGTGTCCTTAGTTGTAATTTAATTAATATTTGAGTTTATAGCCAAGTAAACGTACTTATTGCGAATGAAACTGGCTGTGCCACGACCTGCTCGTGCGACGCCCCAAATGAGGGACGTGCTGACCTCATCGCCCAGGCCAATGGCAAAGAGCCTGGCATTTGATTGGTTCCTTGCCACGAGGCCGATCACCTAAATGATAACAGAAGGAATTGGTCAGTGGATTTAGTGATTTACGGGTTTTCTAGACCAACTTCAAAGACGTGGTGCTATAAAAACATGCCCAGTGAGAATTATTTGACTAAAATGGCTATTACGATATGAAACTGTAGCGGACCAAACTACTAATGTAGAATAACAATGAATGTGTGAGGAAACACTAAACTATACGGTTTAAAAACTCACTTCATCCTGGTTGTATATTTCCCCATCAGTTAGGAAAATTATCTGCCTATACCATCCAGCGCCTGTAATTGGAGTGTCATAAACTGACTTTAACGCCTGGAAAACTTCCGTGCCGCCCATATCAGCTTTCAAACTTGACTGATATTCCAATGCCCTATCTAGGTTCTCTTTTGTGTAATCGACAGGCCTTTAAAATAAAAAAAAAATATGCAAAATGGACAGAAATTAAAGCATGAAGAACATGGAAAGAGTTCAAAGCATGGTAAGCTTAAGAAAGACTTCAGGTTATGCGAACAATGACTTTTGGAATGATTATCAACTGGGACTAGACTAAAATGGCGTACTCGTTAAAGAGGGCTCTGAACATGCTTCCGAAACCGACAATTTGGAAGCGACATTTTCTCGGCAGAGATTTCAGAAATAGAAGCAACGATTCCTTGGTTTTACTTATTCTTGTCCCGCTCATGCTTCCTAAAACATAGGGGTAACACTTAGGCAAGCATCTTAGCGTAATATGTAAATACGAAATGAGTGATTTACCTTTAGACGCTCACTCATATGGTCTATGAAAACTTGAAATTAGAAAAGCTCTTTTTTAATGACAGTTTTTAGCATTTAAAAGGTGGAAATGAACGAAATCTACAGTGAAATATTTGGGACGCTTGCATTTTTCAACCAAACAAATAGGCTCTAACTTCTGCTTACCAGATCTGTCAAGAACAAATATAATTTCCAATTTGTCACCATCAGGCGCCTTTGATTGAGGAATGTCAGGAAGAAAGTTCGCAGTGACACAATGCATCCCCAAAAACCCGCCCTTATCAGCCTGTCCCAATTCACAAGGTGCCCACAAGGCATATGGATTCTCAACTGCAAGCTCCAGTTCAAAATCATGCGACAAATCCATTTCACCGTCTAAGGACACCTAAATAATCAAACAAAGTAATGCGAGATGTCGGTTAGTCAAAGCTAAACGGTTAAAGAAGTTTTTTTAATCAATCACACTTTTAATGAAAAAGGCAAAATAAAACTATTCGAAAAGCAGTTAATGTACATTATATACACTAGAAATGACTTACCTTAGCCCGTTTTTTTTCATTATCCTCAAAATCAACAAGAAACCTGTGATGAGCCGATGTGACAGACAGAATTTGACCGTCCGCATAAATGTCAGCAGTGAAGGTCATTTTAGCAGCAAGTTGAGAACTAGTAGAACGGTCACCATGGATGCCTGCCAAGGTATTGTAAAATGTTAAATTATGACAAACGTGCGATCCAAAAAAATTTTGTTAAGATTAGGTAAAACTGGGGTATTAACTTTAAATACGTACCAGGGTTTGGGTCATAGCGTTCACCAATTCTGGCAGGCATGGAAAACACAGATACAAACGGGTCTTTCAAACCAACGAAGCGGTCTAAGGCCAGATCTATTTTGCGAAGGTATAATGGAATCACATATTTGAAGGTCAGTTTAATAGATTCTTCGGGTGGTATATTGCCTAATTTCATTTTGAATGTATCGCCCATTCTGTAGTCCTCCTGCATCATAAATGCCGTATGACCTGATTCAACTGCCTCTGTATACGCTGTTTCAGCCTAAAAAAGCGAATACAATAAATCCCCAGCTGTGCAAAATCAGGGGCATTAACACAAAGTTAAATATTCAGCATGAAAAAACTCATGTACCTCAATGCGTTCCCTACATATTGCAGTTAAGCGCCTTGAACCAATAACAGCTTCCAGAAAATAAACCGCTGCAGTCGCTTCCAGTGGAAAAATAAATTCAGTTTCAATCAGTTCAGAGGAAGTATTATTGTAGGAGAATTCACAGGAAACATCGACGTTGTTATTGATAAAAGAGGCATATACTGCAAACTTTTCTAACGGCACAGACACATTAGGCCATTTATTAGTAATAACTAATCCATGAATTTGACAAAACGCCATTGACTATTGCCAAAAGAACGAGAGATCACAGTGCCAAAAGCGGCGTCTTCAATGAGCAAATTCCTTCTCATTGTTTTAAACAAGACATCAAGGACAAGTACAGTACACATTGTTGAATCTTACTGAAAACATAAGACACTAATTGGTGCACATTTTTACAAAAATTTAATAACCTATTGCTTGATTTTGCTGGTAACGCTTAGTCTAGAATTCAACACTAGGGTGAATTTAAAAGAAAGTTTACACTTTACGAAAAACTCGAAGACACCATAAGTTACATATCTTTTAAAATTTTAACACTTTAAGAGCAAATTATTCTTAGCACTGCATTCATAAAGATGCAACTTTAAATGCAACATTGTGGTTCTGACTGTTAATTGTTGGCATTAATCACGTAATTATTTTGTTCAGTAAATAGGTGGAACATTATTGCCTTAATTCATTTTATTTCAAAGGATAACAATAGAGCCAACAATTCAAAAACACATTAATGCCAGCATTTGATTGAATTATAAAAAATTAGCCACTGATCATTTCTAGTTTTATTTACATGTATTTGCTTAATCATATGTGCACTAAGGGTCATCGAAAATCATTTAATGTTTTTATGTCTGCACACGGAAGTGACCAGTTCTCACTATCAAAACGGAACAAACGGATTAAAGTTGTGTTTTGAGCGTGGTTGTGCTTATTTACATCTTCGCATTGGCACAAATGCATTTTTCTATAAGCATGAACTTTATTACAAAAGATGTATCATTTATTTTAGTTAACCGCACTCAATATTTGTATTTAATTTTCTGAGCAAATGTAAAGCTATTCAAAGTCCCGCTATAACATCTGAACGAAATTTGATTTTGTCAAAACATATTGAATAACGTAAAAATAAGATAGAAAATCTTTTTAATTTCTCATGAGTCTCTAAGTGATAGAGACGCAACAATTTATCTGAGATTTTGATCAATTTTCAGACATCGAAAAATTTTCGCTGGACCCTTAGTTTTTCAATATAAGTAACATGCCATATTTTCACTTAAGCCTCGTTTCTGGCACCGACCTTAATCTTTCCTTGCCAATTGTAAATAAACTTTGCTACCCAATTTAAAATTATTAGATGTGTCACACCACATTTTGTTCACTGTAAGTGAATTAACTCACATTCTCAATATACGAGAACTATTTAACAGCTGTTGATCCTGAACCTTGATGCTTTTGTATAATTTTTTCTTCTGAAACTATTTAGTGACAATTTATTTTTATAAAATGGTCTGGCAATAAAGGGTATTTTAAGCGCACTAACACATTATGTGGTATTTGATGACACTTTTTGCAAGATACGTTTTTAGTTGGCTTACATTATGCCTTCGTACCCTAATAAAGGGTCTAAAGAACATAAAATATCGGTTTTTAGAAAAAAATTACTTTTGTATTGATTCGTGTTGATTTATGTCCAATAATCCAGTCCTCGCAGTTTAAAGCACACTGCCCCATTTTTCACGACCTGCCTATCAGTCACGTGAGGCTATTGGTTCATTAACCACTCTGCATGTCCCATCACCATCCGTTTTAGTCATGTGACCTCACAGACACCTGTGTTTATTTTTGTACGTGTCCACTGAACCGAAAATATATACCACACAACTTGGTTGAGCTGTCTAATAAACGGTTGTGCCTTCTCCACTCCGGCCTTCTTTATTTTCGTGGGAACTCAGAGTAACGTATTCGGCCTAGATTGTCGCAGTGGCCCCGGCGTGGTTCAAGACAACATGCCGGGCCCTCACCAAACTATGCTTTTTCAGGTTTAATCATTGCTTAGACAAATAAAGCTGGTTGAGTAAATGACAGTAAAAGTAAGCATGCATGGCAGCTGACTTCCAATTTTAGGGGCCAGTGGTTCAAGACAACATGCCGGAGCCGTCAACACACTCTTAGCGCAACGCGTGGGTCACAATACTTAGCATGGACTACCTCAATACTTCAGATTTGCAATCAATACAATCGATGTAGGTCAAGACAACATGCCGGGCCCTCAAAAAAAGGTATTTCCAGGGAACCAGACTTAGTTTATTTTCCTATGACTTCATTAAACGCACTGATAGTTTTCCTAATCCTTTTAGAGTAAACCATCTAAAAAACTCAATTACTGCTAATTTGGTAGTCAAGACATGTTTTGCCACTATTATGTGGTGGTAATTACACCTAAGAAATGAGAGTCGAAGAAGCGATTTAAAATTATTAGTAAGAATCAGGTTGCAGCATAAGATACTCCGCCATTACCAAGTTCCATTAGTCATGGTAATGCTTCCCTCTTCGGAGAGGATTTCTGTCATAAGGTAAAAAGCATCGATGTTAGAGATTGGTTGACTCACTTCCGCCAAGTGTGGTTTATTCCAACGACTTTATTTAATCACAATGTTCGTTACTTTTTGAGTTTTGATTCACTGTATAAGAAAACTTACCTCAGTAGCGAGTAAAATAAAGCACCCTTTTTTGATTATACATGAGAAGAATTCAAACTTAACCTTCAAATCAGCTGCCTTGAGTTATAAAGAGCTATTCAACTATGCTTGTCTCTGTTTGGTAGCTGATTTTCATGTTTAAAAGCACACAAGAGATTAGCCAAACTCGCTGTCATCAAAGATGTCTGCTCCTCTGAACGGTACTGCTGCAGAATACTGAGCCCTAGTATGACGAACACTAGTACAATAGACGGCTTTACTGACCAATCACAACGCAGAACCGCACGTCGAATGCCGTAAATCCGAGTCTGTCACTCTGGCTGCATCATTATTTATATGCCGTTTATCATATGTGTCTGCATCTGGTTGGCTGCATTTCTTCCTCGCATGCGACTAGAACCAAAAGAGACAAAGGATTGGCTGAGATCAGTTTTGTCCACTACGTTTGCACCCTTATACATCACTACACTGGCCTCTTTCAGGAAGATAGCTGTCTTCAGCTTCTGGCTTGGTTCCCCACACTATGGATGATTGACAAAATATTCAGTTCTACACTCCTCGATGCTCCACTTCTGGCAGGATAGTGGCCCAAGCGCATAGTAGACTGGGGACTTTGCTCTTATTGACTTAAAGGAAGGCCACTTCATCCATCGCAGGTTTCATTTCATCGTGGCTTCTACTGTCCCAGTCGTCGTTGACTTTTCGATGCCTCTTCAGATGCAGCAGTCTTAATCTCGGGCAATGTCTATAGATCTAGTGTTTGAATCAACCGATGAACCATTATGGCAACTGTAGCTGGCATTCAAGGGTTCTCGCCTCAGTTGACCCAAAGAGAGGAAAGGTCTGGGATTTTATTCGCGTTATTCAAGCGCATCCGCTGCCACCAGTGTTAAATACCCTAGTCCTGGTATGAAAAAGACTGACGCAATAAAGAAGGCTTTATTGACGAGCCACAAGACTCAACCACACGTCTGATGTCGTCCATCCGAGTCCCCCACGGTGGCCGCGCTGTTCCATATATTACGCTTCTCAAATTTGCTTGTCTTTGGTTGGCTGCTTATCTTCCTCGCATGCCATTGGAACGCAGACAGACACAGGATTGGCTGCCAGGCGGTCCAATATGTCTGCGCCCTGATCCGACGTCACAGCTGCATCACACCACACTGAAAATTGCTTTCGTATGGCAACAAATAAAACCCATGTTTTCTCTCTTCATTAAATTATGAAAGTTGACAGGTCAAGGATAAAAGTGTCAGATTATTCTGAGGTTAGTGCCATATCTCAAGTCGATGCTGCTTACGAAGAAGCTGATTTGGATGCTGGTATTTGTTCATTTGTTCTTCTTTTTTCTCTTTATAAGGCGTTTGTGCACAGGTTGAAGAAGCTTTGAGGAAACGATGTCCAGCTCAAGAAAAGCTCCTCAGGAATTTGCAGAACATTAGAGAAGATATAAAGTGCACATTTTGGTTGTATTGATAACGGCCTCTCAGATTTACAAAAGATATGATTAAACAACTCGAGGTTGCTCTTGACGGCATGTTATGTAGTAACGAAGGTGCAGATAGGGTCGCCGAACGTAAAATCAGGAGTTTGGAAAATGAAATCGAAACAAAGGCAATTTTTTGTTTGCGTTTATTTTCTGTAGATGAAGCTGCTCGATACCTTGCAGAAGCGCGAGGCTGCCTACCAGGATATGTTAGACAATAAAGCTGAACCTGATCGATTTGATGTTGGTAATTTTTTTTGTTTTTTTTTGGTCCTTTAAACCCCTCTGCACATATTTGGTAGCACTTTTATTTTTACAGTAACTCCTTCCGCTTTGAATGAATCCTCTCAGTCGGGGATTCCGACACGGCCTCAAAGACCTGCTTCTAAACCATCTGTCTCTGTTGTCAAAAACACAAACAGGCAAGTGGCGGATACAGATGATGCCGACTTGAAGACATTTGAGCGTCGAGTTCGTGCGTATCAGCGAATTAAATTGTGCAGCCGCCAACTAGCAGTGGAACACAATAATGTACGTTTACAACAGCACCCTCCCGATTGACCTGTTAAATAATAGGACTTTGCTGAGCCTGGTGATCATATTTTGGATCACTCATTGCGTGTTCCGGGTGAAGTATGGGAGAAGCTCTACGGATACCAACGCGAAGGGGTTTCTTGGCTCTGGGGACTCCATCAGCAGGGTGTTGGTGGTATCCTTGGTGACGAAATGGGTCTTGGCAAAACTATACAGGTGCGTCATTTTTTTTCATGTCAGGCCTGCCTTTTGCACCATTTACTCGGCTGTTTTCAATACCGCTGGTCAGTTTTCATAGCGCTTTAAGTGAATTCCAAGGTGGTCCTTAGTTCTCCCAGCTTAAACCAAATCAAGCCAGACTTACTGCCCTATCTTCTAGGTGATCGCATTCTTAGCTGCGTTGCGCCACTCAAAACTCGAAACAACTGGCGGTAGTTTTGACGTTGCTGTTTCGCAAATGAAGCAATCCTCGTCTTCAGAAACTTTAAACAAGTAAGCGCCCTGTTAATTGATCCAACTACCGCCACTTTCAATGTCTATCGCTTGATTGTATCCCCATAGAACCCACGGACTGGGACCAGTCTTGATAGTTTGTCCCGGAACTGTACTAAAGCAATGGCTGGCAGAATTTCGAGAGTGGATTCCAACCGCGCGTGTAGTTATCGTCCACTCAAGTGGCTCCGGCTACCACAATATCGTAAGTACACTGCAATCTTTTGTCTGCTGAGCACATGTCTTTGCTACTACCTTAGACATACCACCCGCTCTCCGTGTGCCCGTTTTTTTTCAGTCACACCTAGTATCGAGTTTATTTGTGACCTCTGGAGTTGCCTTGACTACTTACGGCACGTTGACCCAGCACAAAGACCTGCTTCTGCCCCTTCCCTGGCACTACCTCATCCTTGACGAGGGTCACAAAATTAAAAATCCTGAAGCCGACATCACCGTCACGGTGAAGCGGGTAAGTTGGTCCTATAAACGCTCTAATCATCTGCTCGGATCCATAGTTCGCTACTCCACACAAGTTGATTGTGTCGGGCACCCCCATGCAGAATAACCTGAAGGAGTTGTGGTCGATATTTGATTTTGTGTACCCGGGGAAATTGGGAGGTCTTCCTGACTTCCTAATTAACTTTGCTGTTCCCATCACCCAAGGTGGCAACGCAAACTCCACACCTATTCAGGTATGTCGTGATGTCGGATTTCGTTCTACCTAAACTATCACTCATAGGTCGAAACGGCATACAGGTGTGCTTGTACCCTAAAAAACCTTCTTTCTCCCTACCTTCTGCGACGTATGAAGTCAGAAGTTCATCTGGAATTGCCGAAGAAATCAGAACAGGTAAATATCTGATGAAAAAGCTGCTGGAGCATCGTGCGTGTGTTTGTCTTGATTCAAGATTTCAAACCTTTTTAACGTTTATGTCACATCAGGTTCTCTTTTGTCACTTGACGAACTATCAGCGCTCGTTGTACGAGGAGTATCTAAACTCGAAGGCCTGTCAAGACATCCTTCAGGGCAAGGGACTAGTTTTCAAGGGACTCATTCTCCTGAAGAAGCTCTGCAACCACCCAGATTTGGTGACGGGCGGCCCGAGGCGCTTCGGCATGCGATTTGGCGAGGACCAAGACGATCTGCTCACTGGCGACTTCAGAGCGAGCGAGGAACAGGAGGACTGGCAGAAATTTGGGTGTTCTCGACGATCAGGGAAACTCCTCGTCACCCTCGACCTGCTGAGTTTGTGGCGAGAACAGAACCACAAAGTGCTTCTTTTTAGCCAGAGTCGCAAGGTGGGTTTGAGATATATGACAGGTTTTTTAGCAAATTTATTCAATATAAAAAAAGTAGAACACAACCGGCAGAATCGCAGAAACATTGTCCATAGTTTTCCATGACCCTGTACCTCTACCCAGGTGACGTGTCAATGCCGTCGCGAAAGAAACTTGCAGGCTTCGAGCCAATCAAGTCATTGACGAATCTTAGCACATTGTCTAACATGTTTATCCACTAAGGCGTGCTGCTGTTGCATTGACCAGAACAAATAGTAGTCGGATGAGGTTAAGCCTCGTGAATATCTCGCGTGTGGCAGGACTTCCCATCCCAAGTTCAGGAGGGTCTTCTGACTCGCGCGAGCAATGCAAGGTCGAGCGTTGTCACGCAGCCGTAAATGGCCTTTTCTGATCACGCAGTCGTTCGGTTTGTTCAACTGTCGGCTGTAGCGTTCCGCAGTCACCGTCTGACAACCAATTTTCAGGAGTTAGGAATAAAGCACACGCCTCGTGTTCCACAAGATACACAGGAGAACCCTCTTCAAGTGAACGTCTTGTCTCAGCGTTGATGTACTGAATTGCCCGCGATCAACTCACGACATTTTGCGTTTTTGATTCTCGCAGATGTACCTCTTATAATCCGTCACAATTTTTGTTGCCGACGGACAAGCAGTGAAAGTCATGTGCTCCCACGTTGACCCGGGTTGTGTTTGGTCAACATATGCGAGGCCATCCAATTTCCAAGCGTTAAAATTTATCCCACTATGCGGCACAAAGGCTTGGAAATAGCTCTAAGGGTGACTCCTAACTGAGATGATGCAAGCTCTTGTTGCGTTTGCGTTGAGTCTTCATCCAGCAGAGCTTGTAATTCCGCATTTTCAAGCTTTCGAGGCTGCTGTCCGGGGCGCAACTGATCAGTAAGATCGAAATTAGTACTTTTAAAGTGTTTGTACCAATAAGGGAACGCTTCATAAGATAAATCTCTGGCACCAAGAACACTGCACATTGATTCAGGTGCTTTAGAAGCATTGCCTCCTTGTTGCAATTTGTATAAAATGCAGTGACATCGAATGTGCTATTTGTCAGTTGGCTACGTAACGGACATAGTCGCGTCATTCAGTGTTCTGAAACCGTGCGTCTGATCCTTTCAAAAATAATCCATAAAAATTAGTTAATGCACCTAGTATGTGTTCCCAGTTTCCAATCATTCACCTGCTCAACGGTAACCGTGTTCTTCTCCCCACCAGATGCTCACCTTACTGGAGAAGCACCTTCAGCGCCGTGGTTATTCCTACCTTCGGATGGACGGAACCACAGCGATGGGACAACGACAGCGTCTGGTGGAAGAGTTCAACAGCTCCTCTTGTGATCGCTGTTTTGTCTTCCTGCTGACTACGCGAGTGGGCGGTCTGGGGGTTAATCTGACCGGTGCAAACCGAGTCCTCATTTACGACCCAGACTGGAACCCCTCGACAGACGCCCAGGCACGGGAACGAGCCTGGCGCATCGGCCAGTTGCGTGAAGTTGTCGTCTATCGTCTACTCGCCAGTGGTACTATCGAGGAAAAGATTTACCAGAGGTAAAGTTCCCGACTCTTTTGTTTATGCTTAACCAGGCTAGGGCTGGGCTATTCTTGGTTCACACCTCCTTCTGAAGTCTCCATTTTGCCTTGATACAGTCAAATTTCAGATGCTACAATGCCAATGTGTGTCTCATCTAACCTATCTTCAACAGAGTGGTGTTTTGCTTAGTCAAAAGCATTTTTTGCACCCGCTGAAGCTTCGAATTCCCCCCCCCCCTTTTAGACAAATTTTCAAGCAGTTCTTGACGAACAGGGTGTTAAAGAATCCGGGGCAGCAGCGTTTCTTCAAGATCAACGACCTCCAGGAGCTGTTCTCCATCGCAGACGCCAAACCGTCGGAAGCGAACGGAGGGCAACGGCCCGAGTCTGCGTCCTTCTTCAAATGCGTCGGCATCCCCAAACACGCAATTGCCCAACCTCTTAATCTCAGCGGTAACAGATTCGACCGTCTGCTTGAAGATAAGCAATTAAAAGCAGATGAAGCAAGCTCGTCCGAAAGTGAAAATGCCAGCAGCCAGGAGGGTGCCTCTGTGGTGCAACGTCGGGAAGAGGAGACGCAGGAGGAACGAGAAGCGCGTCTTCGCGCCCAGGCACGCCTCCTGAGCAGGAAACTGGTGGAGAAATATGGACGAAAACGAAAGCGCGGAACACGTGTTGATGGTCATCGTATACGCGGAGTGGAAAAGCTCTCCAGGCTTGATGAGGGCGCTGGGAGCGATATTCAGGGAACCTCTGAGGCACCGCGTACCGACATTGACCCTTTCGTTGCGTCCGTGCTTTGTGGTAGTGGAGGGGACAACACCGTGGAGACGAATTCAGACCGGAGGCTGCAGGAGTTGAAGGCGAAACTGCAGCGAGTAGACGAGGACATGCGAGAGGAGGCCGAACGCGTGGCAAAAGCAGCACTAGAGGCGATAAGAGGCAAGAAAAAGACCCACTCTTCCAGACACCAACGTCCTTCTCGACGAAATCGCATCGGGGCACAGAGCGCGGCGTCTCGTCGGCTGAGAAACCTAACCACTGTGAATCACGATCGGTTGATGAATGAATTCCTGATGCCGGTCAAAGCGGTCGACCCTTCACTGGTTAAGCTTCAAGCCGCTCGATTGGCTAGCAGTGTTGTCGCCTGGTTGCACGCAGAAGCCCTGAAAATCTGCCGGCCCACCGCTGCTGTCGACGTGCCCCTCCCATCTCCCCTCAGAACCACTTTTGGGCTAGCGAAAAACCCCTTTCTTTGGTCCCCACAGGAAATCAAATCCCCCCTTTACGTAGGTCACGCGTCTCACTTATCCATCATCCCTTCAGTTGGGGTTTCAGTTGTTGCCTTGTTTTTAGCTCTCTTACATGGCACTGGACGGCGTAAGGTCTCCACAGTCTGACGATTGGTCAAAAAATTTCCTCTATACGGGCCACAACCGCCTGAGCTCGAGGCTCTTATTACAAGTGATTCGTACACGTCGGGATCGAAGCATGACCTTCCTGGGGATTTCCGCGCCCTCTCTTCTCGAAGGGGGCAGTGCTGAGAGTGTCTCGAAGGAGAGGGAACTGCGGAAGGTGGCTCTAGACCTCCTGCGTCTCTTCTCCGAGCGTCGACCGACCCCTTCCACATCCACGTCGGAAGCGGTCGTCCTGGTCACGAACACGGACGAGATTGCCGCGCGCTTCGAGGACCTACTTTCCACCAACGATTCTTCCAGTGGCTTGAACGCTCGACACTTCAGGGCCTTGCTACGCGCCCTCGCCGTTGCGCCGGCAAAGGGTGAACGCGGGGAGAGAGGAACCACTTGGACTCTCAAGCCGCGATTTGTTATGATCGCGCGCCGATTCGCTCTGGCTCCGACGAGATTTGCTCCCTGACTTAACCAACTGTATACATGAGGTAACTTGGTGTATTCTGTACAGGCATTAATAAATTGACAACATGCACGCTCTAAATCTTGATTATTTAAATACTCCATTACTTTGCATGTACACACACTTTTCCCCAATATTTGGGTCCACCAGAGATCTCTCAACTCATCACATATAAAACACCCAGAAGTGGGGGGACGCACTCCAAGTTAGGATATTCACAAATGATGACATTCACACATCTTGTAAAAGTGCGGACAGAGTAGTTGAAAGACCGGAATTAGTCGATTTGTTCAAAAATATCTCCATTTTCGTCTTCTTGCGCCCCCTCCCCGTCCTCCTCATCAACCACCACCTGGAAGCCGAATTCGGCGAGGATCGCGTTGAAGTCCGCCACATCGTTGGCACGGTCGGGCACCGTTGGCCACAGGCTGGCGAACAGGGCGTTGAGGAAACCCACAGGTCCACCTGCCGCGTTCTGGCGATCCCTCCTGCAAGGAAACGTAACACGACGCGCCGTCTCACAACCTGGACATTCCATCTCACAACGACAACCTCCCACCTTGTGTCACAGTTTGACCAAGATGTGAATAGTCATTGACGAATTAGCCAACTACACATAACCAGATTTTCTATAAGCAGCGAACGAACAGTCGTGTCGCCCTCTCATTACTTGCTCTAGGCCAATAGGATTGTGGAGTGTCCGTGACTGCAGTTTAGTACGGTAGTTGACCATATTTAATATAACCTAAGCGTTACTTGGGTTCAAAAACGAGCGACAAAACCAGAGGTCGGGTGGAGCTATAACGTCCTTTCGCCATCTTTCTTCAAAGAGCGTGACCAGGCCAGCCCTCTGAGCAGATTTCCAAACGAATACACACCATCCAACGGGAATCCTTCACAGGCGATCCAAATGCACGCTTGAACGATACTCGGCGTCAATACAAATTTCGACTGAACTTGTCACCAGTCTGTGGATCAATTAAACTCTGACATCAATAGTTACGAGATTTTACGGGTGCTAAACCGACGCGACACGGACAATCGTCCTCAAACCCGAGTCGAGCCGTGGAGAATCACTCTAAACGGACCCCATTTTAGTCTGTCATGAAGAAGGCGAATTTCTAAATTAAAACTGGCGCCAATCACTGGCTGCCTCAAAAAATGCTGTGATGGTATGAGGAGAAACAAGAAATGCTCACCTCTCGGCCTCAAGATCGTAGGCATTAATTGAATCCGCCGGTGGGAATGGATCCAACGGGTAGATTTGTTGGTTGGCAAACGTCTAAAATGCAGCAGCAGTAGTAGTGCAGATGGTTAAAACAAAACCCCGAACATCATCTGGATTTTGTAGAGAACAATAGCGTCGTGTCAGTATCATTCGTCTACAAAGAAATGGGGTGAGATGCAGTCCCCAAACTAAAACCAAGGAGGAGGACTGCCTACCTACGCATATCACAAAATTCGAACCAGAGTGAGGTGACAACAGTTGGAAGTCGCAAAAGGTATTCTAGCCTTTGGAAAAGTAGATTTGATAAATACAGAGCGCCACGTATTGGTCTGTCAGCGCAGAGAAGCGTCAATCAGACAAGTTGTCTGACGACGACTCCACAACACAAAAGATCGCCCAATTGCGGTGGCGTAGGCATGAACTCACCGGAGGAACGAGTGGTGGAACGTCGGGGAGGTCTCGAAGGAAGATGTAGCGCAAAACACACCGTGGAGGGTGGGTGTACAGGCTTTTCCTTCTAACAGGGTTTAATAAAAAGCGTGTAAGCGGACAGCACCTGTGTACCGACCTGACGTGGCTTCAACGCACCAAAATCCTTTAAATTAAACAAACAGGCACTACGGCCTACGCTTGAATGGTATTCTTTGAACCTACAAGAGAACTACCTCTTTTACAAATTAGACTGATGTAATGTCAATCAACACAGCTCATAGATTGAGTACAAGTCATGTTTCAAGAAGTTGATTGATGTTTCTCACACAGCATTCCTAATTAATTCAATTCAAACAATGCAGTCCTGGCGATTTGTGTGCATCAATTTGAAATCACGGATACACTCACCTTTTGGAATATTCCTCGAGCCGGTGATCTGGCACGGGGTTGTGGGTGGGGCTGGACTCGGCGTCACTCAGGACAACGGGCTCTACAAGCTGCAGGACGGCTTCAACGTTGCGTTCGAGCCAGGCCAGAACGTCCGCCTCCTGCCAGTGATAGCGCATCTGCGACACGTAGACGTCCAGCAGGCGTCCCAGGCCTTCGCTTTCTCTGAAACGCAGTGTCACAAAAGGGCACATTTTTTGAGGCATCGTGTTGTGTGGGACTCGAACCCACGACAGTCTATCGGGCTTCTAAGATAGTTGTCGTGTTTCCTTTGACTGCAGGCCTTTGAAGGCTCGCAGGAACACACAAGGTCTCGCAAGATTTAGCTTTTTAACGTCGATGTGTGAGGACGGGGGAAAATGGTGCGTTTGAAATAATACCAAGGCATTATTGTCATAAAATTTGACTATTAGGTACAAAGTACACCGAGTGTTACAGGAAACGTCACTAAAAACGTGTTGAAGCAAGTCCACAGGAAGGTTTTCGGACAAAACGCTTCCCTTCTGAGGTTGCTCATGCGAATAAGACGAGTATGGACTTATCTTGTGACAATTGGAACGGATGATTCAACGAGTTGTAGTAAGGGTACATTTTAGGCATTTATGCTGAAGTAAAGTGCATTAGGGAGGTCAACTCGAGATCAGATCGCATTTCCATACAAGCCAATTTCAGTTAGACAAACACATCGATTACCAGTGACTTAACCACCACAAATGTAACTGCAGTACAGTTAGTCGTGAGGTTCGAATGGCGAGCATGAATACCTCTTAATAGTCCAGTTACTGCATCGATCGATTCTTCGTTAAAACCCTCATGAAAAAGCATTCAATTTCGCGCAGCTTTGGGTGCAAAAAATGACGCGAATACAGGAGAATGAGGACACAATAACGTTTAGAATAAGGAAAATGTAAAAATATTTTCAAAACTAGCTACGATTAAAGACGAATATATGTGGTTTCTTTTGGCAAATTTCAGTACTATTTTCAAATACTAAAATAATCCAATTTTTTTAATAACCCGACTACTTCAGGGCGTTTTACAACATAATTAAGTGGTCCTATACACTTGCTTGCCCGTTCCGGCAAACAGACAAATGAAAGCTTAGAAGGGAAATTCAAAAGTGGCACCAAATCACTGTGCACAAGTTTCAGCATCCGAGCACAAGACAACAGTGGAGACAGCTTACGAAGTGCTGACTTCCTTGCCGAAGAGAACAGACTTCGCCAGATTGTCAGTTCCACCGACTTTGACATGCTTCATCAGTCGTGGAAGGAACCCAGGGAACATCAGCAGAGCGTCTTGGAGCTGAAATGACACAATGATCATCAGTACGGTGTCTTCGAAATGACTGGGAGCTCTAGACGCTTTGACAAGGCATTTGTGCTTCCAAATGCCACAAGTACCACTAGAATGGAAGCAACTTTTTGACAAAGTGCATTTCATTAGCGGTAAATAATTGACTTAAACCCAACGCCCAATCCTGCATTAGTTTGTGGTGCTCATTACACAGAAATGGGAGTGGTTTCGCGGAGCAAGACGTTACCATGGCGTCAATTTCCTCGGGTTCAAGGAGATCTGAAGAAGGTCTTCTCTTGCGCGGTCGGTTTCGCTGCAGCCACCGGACCAGAGGCATGGAAAAGGCGAAGTTTGGGAGGAGATTCAGGCGTCGCTTGGGCTATAACAAAGAAGGCGTGACTGCGGATTAAAAAACAGAGGCGCAGGGCAGTTGGTTCAAATTGGGTAAAAAAACTAACATTCCAAGTCTCAAAGAAGCTGATTAGAAACTCGTATTCCTCAGTCACAATTGCGAAAAAGTCCAGTGCAAGGGTTATCGCCATCGGATCCTTGTCCGGCTCCAGACTACAGAAGTAAAAGACCGTTGAACGCAAAGTCTATGTACTGTAGAACCTTAGTTCAGACTTGTCTAAATAGACGCAGATCTGGCGATGGAAAATGAGCACAAAACGGATCACCGCAAACAAAATCTGAATGCTCGTCATGAGGAAAGAGGCTAAATTTTCGTGCGAACATGAGCCAACAACTTCACCATCGTGACTCACAGAAGCAGTATCTTGCTGTACTCCAGAGCCGCCCGATAAGAGCTTCTGGAGGCAACATAGAAGATGTACCGGAAGAGAGCCACAAAGAGACTTCGGTTCTCCTGGACCCTGTAGTCCAGGCGGCAACTACGTGTGGAAAAGTTGAAGGACAGATGGAAAGCCGACTGGAAAGCGTAGAGTGCACGCTCAAGCAGATCTGCGCCGACCTCTGATTGATCTTGGTGCATCAGATAGTCACTCAGCTGAAGCAAAGTGTCCACGTGGTAGGGGGCCTTCGACAAAACCATCTGAAGAGACAGTAGAAAGCAATTCCTCACTAACCCCTCACGTGACAGTGGTAGAGATAGCAGTGGTGCAGGCACGAGGATACTAAACAGACTTTGAGCATAAAAACGTGACTAACCGAAAGGGTATTTGGATCAAGAGCATCTTGAAGAGCGTAGAAGGCACGTTGCTGCCTACTGTAGTCCTTGCTGTGAGTGAAGGCGAACAGGTTCCCAATGGGGTCTTCGTCGCACCGCTTCATGGCGAGGCCGCACTTGATGAAAGGAGGCCAGTTGGCCTTCGGTCGCACGAGCGGCCCGAATGCGCCTCTACGGCCTTTCGGCATTCCTCCGGTCGCGTCGGTGCCAAATTTACGCTGCAGTTCGGCCATGTAGTCAAGGAATTTCTTGTTCACGGTAAGGCAGTCATCTGTGTTGGTGGCTGAGCTAGGAGCCTCAAGTTCTATGGGGGGCGCGTGCTGTGCCTGCTCCAACAGTAAGTCCTCATCCACGTCCGAATTCTAAAAGGATACCACTGAGTTTATAAAAGCATCTAGTGACACAAAATCGTGTTTCTAGGGGCTTTATGAACTCGATAAAATGTTTAAGAACACATTTATTATAAAAACTGATTCAATACGTACGGGTTTGTTAGTGGCACCTTTTCTCCTCTTCTTTTTGTTCCTTTTAGTGGCATGACTTTTGTGTCTTTGATGTTCTTCGTGGGTAGGAGCATCGTTTAATGGGGAGGCTATTTCTTCAGAAGCTTCTTCAAGGTCAACCTAAAACATTGAGACCCGAACCGGATCTTCAATTACTCTATATATAAACTGAAGCATAAAAAACGCAGCATAAATCATTAAGACACTCATCTCACACAACAAACATGAAGGATGCAAAACGACCAACAATTAATGAAAAAAAACATTCACCACCCGAAGGGTTATTACTGAAATGACTTGTAGTACATGCGTTAAAGGAATAAAACACAAAACTCACCAGTGAAAATATAGACTGTTTAGTCCTAGGAACCCATTGCTGGGTATCATCCTCATCAACAGAATTTGTTACAGCATCTGCATTGGCTAGCTTTCTTAACGCTCTGGACGACATCCCAGTGCAACGTTATATGCAGCACAGACTCAACAGCGAAGTTTAACCCAGCACAAAGCACTCCAATCAAATTGGAGATAGATATCAGCATTAATAACGATGTTCATTTCAATGACATTAGTGGAATCTTTATGATTTCATGAATATTATAATAAAGACTGCTTGCTACAACTGGCCTTTTGCATTTTATATATGTATTGTTGCTTTTTTTTACTGCATTACAGCAATATTCAGAAAAATTACGGAATTTCAGGGCTAAATTCTTGGGGTTATTATAGTAAATTAATGTGCCTAATTACACTAACGTATAGTCTAAATTTAGTTCTTAATCAGTATAACATTTTTGCATTGTATTCCAAAATAGTAAATTTTGGATTCACATAAATTAATTATGAATATGAAGGGACCAATAATTAATATTGAACAACCTAAGCTTCGATTACTATGTTTGTGTAAGTTTCGCACTTTTTTTCTTTTTAAGAATAATGGTAATGAAATAAATTCCTCGTTAACAACCGCTTAGTAAAAGCGTCTTTTTTAATCGGCACCTGTTTTCACTATTCCCAATATTCCTTCCTTTTTGGAATCAGTAAGTTGATTATCGTTCCAAACACCTATCAAACAATTAATATTTATTATGTAAATCTTGCAAAAAAACAGTAGGAAGTTAGGATTTGCCTAATATCTGGACCTTAAATGTATTTTTTGGATTTAACACGATGGTTTAATTATTATGGAAATTTAAAGACATGAACAACTTAAATTACGAATCTGTAACATGTCTGTACTTCCGCGTAGCCGTAAGCTCAATCACAAAATAATGTGGATGTTTATGTTTTTCGCAGGTTAATTAACTTGCCTGAATAAGAATCAGGTGTCAGATAGACCCTAAAACTGAGTTCAGATTAAATCACACCTGCATTAATTACATTTTTTTTGTTTTTCTTATGACACCTAATGGCTTAACTACTTGTAGTGCACCTGCATCCACGATTCGTTTAATGTACAAATTTTGTTTTTTTAAAAATATGTGATCTCAAACTCACTACACTCTGATAAATTTTGCGTCCGATTCGCCACTCTTCTTAGAATGTTTTGTGACAGCGCCTAATTCACAATGTCTTCAATTTTTTGATGTTACTACTTTCTTAAATCTAAATCAACCACAGGGAAGGAACCTGTGTAACACTTTCCACAGTTGTCATTTTCGAGAAAGTTAACTTCACATATTCGACCTAACCGGGATAGTAAACGTAAGAACAACGACGCTCTGAGATAAGCGCCTTGAAACTCAGCTTACTCAGTAATAAAATGAAAATTCCTACCATGCACATGAAACCATTTGCGCAAAATACTTGCAAAAACTCATAGATCAAGGAAGCAAAATACAAGCTCTCAAAGGCATTTATTAGGGCGAGTCATTATAGACTAGCGTTGGTAACCTACGCGGTGCATTTAACGATTTTCTCTTACGCATGTATCAAACCGTTTAATGGTAGTAATAATAAAGATGATGAGCAGGGGAAGCTACTGTCTAAGTACAATTGAGCCTGGCCTTAAGTCAGCAAGTAAACTTTTGCACTCGAATATCACCGTGGCCTCCAACATTGGAAGGCCCAAGATGATACGGCAGTGAGGAGTCCGTGTCGCGACTTGACATTCTGGTGGTGATGAATCCAATCGGCGGTGCCATTGGAGGCGGCGGATTGTACGCCTGTGGCTGTCGATATAAATCAGGAGGCTGGGTTTGTGGTGTTATAGGTGTTTGGGGTACTCTGTGGCCTTGACCTAAGCCGTTGAGTTGAATGGAGTCACTCAGAAGGAAGCCTGATCCAGGCAGGCCGTCAGGAGGTATCAGTGCCCGTGATGAGTCGGAAACGGAATTCACTTCTGCCTTTTGGCTCACACCTCTTACACGATCTAGTCAAAAACAGTGAGCATTTGGTGAGGTAATATACCAACGCTTAAGAAGAGGCTATTGGTAAACAAGTGTGGCAAAACGTTTGCACAGAAGTCAGTGCCCTTTTAAACAATCATCTTTGATTGCATTCTTAGTAGCCTAATAAAACTTTACTAGAAAGGCGAATTTTTTTTCATTTTTTAACGTCTTATGCGTTAAGTACATCAAACCTCGAACACATCTAATAAAAAACAGGAATTTGGTTTTGGTTCTTTTGATTAACCAGACAGCCAATCAAAGTTCAAGATCACTTACTCTGCGAGCCTGATTGGGTACTGTGGGACGGCACGTGTGAATACCTGCGACAGGAGGCCCTTCGATGCATCCGCGCCACATCCAACGCAGAGGGTCGACGATTGTCCACAGCTGCTCCCTCGACCCTGCCCCTATCACCGTTGGAGGGCAACGGTTTCACTACCGCAGGCAAGCAAGGTGCATAGGCCAACGCCGCCACCCGACACTCCTTTGAAAGCACGCACGTTGAAGGAGGCGGTGGCAACGTCAGCGCTGACTCAGCGCCGAAATCCCGAGTGCTCGATCGCGCCATTGAAAAGCGAAACTCCCGAGCCATCTCCTCACTGAAAGGACGCTACAATGAAATTGTTTGAAAAAAAAAACAGAGAAACATTGCATGAGAATGGCCAACACTTTGATAGGATGCGGTACAATACTATTTGGCGAACCTTCGTAAGGTTTGCTCGATGGTAGACCTTGTAGAGGAATTCCTGTAGGCTTATAAGAACCGACGCTGCCAGACCGATGAGAATCATCACGAAGCAGCCACCGACTTGTTCCAAACCCAGCGAGCTCGTGTCCTTGCTCTTTGTCTGCTTCTCGCTGCACGGTATGGTTATGTTGTAATTACGCCACCAGTACCGACGAATTTGTTCCAGTCTCTGCGAGGCCTGTAGCTGCAGGATTACCTCGGTGAATGCATCACGGTACTTGGAGCCTGAAAACAGAAACCAAGTACAACGTAGACTGGCCAAAAATTGTGCGCTTATCAATAACACTGTAAATTTTAGAAACGTCTCAAGTTAAGTCCCAGGGATATTAAGCAAAGTGGTTTTGAAAAACATGCAATAAATGGGGTCTGAGAAGCTTAGGCTGACGCAGGACCACGGATATAAAAATCTAGTTTATCTGGCGTATTTGTGAAAATTTGACTCCGAGTTGTGCGGATGCGGTGCGTCTTGACGTCGCATTGTGTAGTGACTTGTGTTGACTTGCGTTCATTCGCTATGCTGCCGCATTTTCCAACTTTCCACTCCCTTTTCTTATCGAGCCTGTCAACCATGCGAAACTGTCTGCGCATTTGTACTTTTACCAGTTAACCCAGACTGTATCAGCATTGCAGTACCTTTAATACACGCAGACGACACAACGCGACTTGTTTGAGCTATCGACTAAACAGTTGTGCCTCACCTTCTCGGGCATCAGCACAGTGGTTCCGGCGTGGTTTTAGACCACATTCCGGGGTCCTCAACAATCGTATTAGGAGTCTGCAGGTTCAGGGAAAGGCACAATGTGACGTCGATTTTGTAGGGAGACCAAGATTTGACTTATTTTTTACAAATTGAGTACTGTGGTCACCCAGGCGACAACGCCAGCCTCGATAGCTCACAGCAGACAATATCGATTTCTCAGAGTCCGATCCGCTCACCCCCACACAACCTGCTTACCCTGGGGGAAACCGATTCCGTAGCCTTTCGAGTCGAGGTTATCGCCGATCTGGATGAGGTCGCAGTTGCGCTGAGTGAAGTACTCGTTCATCGTTGACTCGAGGATGTAAGCGTAGCCGCCTCGCTTCACCCTCGCGATCGCCTCCGTGGCGTTGTTTATCATGACGCCCTTGTTCGTCGACATGAACTGCCACATGCGCTGGTAAATCGACTGGTTGGATTTCTGCAATCAGGAGATAAATACACTTAAATTTCCCTGCCTTACATAGCAGCTTCAACATTGTGTGTTATTAAGATCGTTAAAGAACTGTGTGATTTTGTGAATTTTTATTTTCTAAACTAAATGCTTACCATGTTGTTGACCTACTTACGCATGTTTTTATCTGATTAACTAGCGAAATAAAACAAATAGTTACTGAGCGTTTACCGTCGCAAAGCATAAAAACTGATTCCCTATCATCTTAAAACTCCCTTAGCTATAAGATCATGGCCGAAGATAATAGTGAAATAAATCGAACCAGACACTAGGTGATACCAGATGGAAAGCGAAGAATCCCTCGATTTTATCTGGAACTGCTGATACTCGGTATTAGAATTTAAGTGGACATGCAAAACGACTCCGCAAACATCCACACCGGAAATCTTTGTTTTACAATACTGACGTCCGTTAGAACACTGTTCAGTTGGCCCCAAAGCAGATAACGCGTAAACGTTATTACGCCCAGGATCTTCTTCGTTGTTCTTCTTATCCGGCGTCTCTGTTTCCTAGGGTCTAAGCTGCTGCTGCTGATATTTACACACACTGCAAATCAAAATCTCCTATTGGTTGCTGGTAAATTGGCGCTTCATTCAATGTGTTGTTACTTGCGCCAAAGTTCCACACTAAACCAAGTCCTGGCTTTTAATAATAGTGTTTTTAGTTTGGAATATGAGCGCGGTCGACATCTGCCATTTCGAACTGACTCTGCACTATTACTAAATAATGACACAGCCTGGCCTTACCAAGAGCAACATTAAATATAAACGATAAGGTGACATATTCCAATCATTTTGAAGCACAGGCCAATCATATTCGCTCAGCAGTTGCGCAGTCTCCTTGCATCAACTTACCGAAAAGAACGCAGCCGAGGAGCCGCCTCGACGTGTGCCGTACTTGATTTGTGTCTGCTTGGCCAGATCGTTGACGTCCTCAATCGGCACCTTCATCCGCTCCACGGTGAGGAACGCTGCCAAGTTGGCGGTGTAGGAGGAGATGATGATGAGGGTGAAGAACCACCAGAATCCGGCGATGATCCGCGTGGACGTTGCTCTGGGCAGAATGTCCGAGCCTAAAGGTCACGGGGGAGAGTGAATAAGAAAAGGCTAGAGGTACCAAACTCTACACACCCGCGCTCACAACCATCGTGGTTTGCAAATTTTCACTTAAATCAGGTACTTGCTTTCACAGAGCATCTATTTGAGTGCAATTACGAACGAAAGTGCCTCATTGGTAGAAAACGGGACTAACAGCGGTTTGTTTTCAATTACGTTTATGCCTAGGGGAAAACTTCTCTGAAAACGCTTCATTCGAAGCCTCTCATTTGCTTTCCTGTCTAGAAATCCCTAGCATGATCTTTGCCGCAAGTTTGCTATTTAAAAACAAAGCAAATGCTTTGGACGAAGGCTACCATTGAAGATAATTAAAATGAATGTCCCCATTTGAGTAGTGTAAATTAGAACCATTATGCCTCAAAAGTGCAAAATTACGACGATGCAAGTAGTAGCAGATGAAGTGTCGCCTGTGGTTGCAAATAATCATTGATTTTGTTTCCTCTGTGTCATTTACTACCATGTTGGTCTCGATTTATCCGTTGTTTTAATTGTGGTTCCCACTGCGCGCCACTCACTACCTGCTCAATGGATGAGTGCTATTTAAATTTGACCAATGCGGACACTACATGCACGTTGTTGAAAGTTCCGACTTGTCTTCTGTTAATCTTCCAATTCCCTCTCTGTCTTCATTTTAATTGATGTATTGCGGATGTTTGAAGTATTTTTAATGCGGATGTCACTGTACTTTACACTCTTTTCTAATTTCAAAAAAATTAATCGCAAAATTGAATCACCCGTCATGCAAAATTTTATACCTTATTTTCAGGATAGTTATTGATACTGCAAGGAAATAACTAATCCAGTTGAATACTTATAAGATTTTCTTTAACATCAAACAAACTGCGTTTTTTCCCTAGTCGGGTGTTTAAGGATTACGGAAGTTCATAAATTAGTTCTTTGCGCATTTGATTCCATTAATCAATTTCGGCCCATGGTGTTATAAATATGTTTGGCGTTGGCGTTGTTTGATATGAGCATTGAAGGGGATTAATATGTGCAAATCTTTTAGAATTATCTGAAAATTCAACAAAAAGATAATCAAACCAGCTACAACCAGTTAAGACTGATGCAGGTGTAAAGATAATGCCAATTTCCGCCCCAAAAGTGGGCTATTTGCTAGATCAACGCACCCTGTTGCATCAGAGAGCCAATAGTGAACCACAGGCTGTTCAGCATGTTGAAATTGTTCTTCAGGAGTTCGGACTCGGTGTTGCAGGGGTGTGGGTTGTTCCACTCGTAGGGGCTGAACCGGGCGACAAAGAAGAGAGTCATGCTTACCCCGACGTAGGCGATCAACACGTAACCCCAGACCTAAAGTGAAACAACAAAACTCATCGTGGATCTCAACTTTCCTCCTCAACCCGACGACAATGTTAGCAGAACATCATGTGTAAATTAGTTTGTTGTGTTGGTCTTCTAGCGACTAAATTTCGCCAAGAATGGAATTGCAAACACTTCAGCACTTCCCATTCAAATCACGACAAGTCTTGTTTGTGTCTGGCTGGGTTCGTCTAGAGACGATGCTTTTTGACATGTTTCCTGAATTCGTAAATATTAACAGAGGCCAATATTGTGGAAACAGTGAGTACATCATTGGCACAAACGTAGGTCGGTTCAATCCGACGTTTTTGAAACTAACTGACTTCAGTTCAGTGTGCACTGTGACCGTGCAAATCATGTAACCAGTGGTATACTTAAATCCGCATGCCCTCTCAGCTTGCATTGCCGGTTATTCACACATCAAACGGTGGCGTTTGTTTGATATTACACACAATCACTAGATTGACCAATCACCTGACTTTCAGCAAACACCAATGATCCTTCACAAAGTAGTCAGCAAGAAAATACACGTAAAAACGCGATTTTTTTCTGGTTTTATGCACAATTGTGGTTTTAATTTGACCCTGAATTAGAAAATCGTTCACATGATGTAATCTATTTCGAAGGAACGACGATCTGGACATTTCTAGACACCACGGGTTCGAAATTTCCAAACAGCGCCAAAGTATCCACTACACACGGGGCTGTACAATGTGATGCCTCAATTGTACCACATCGGCACACCGTAAAGACGCTTAAAATATTCTAGAGGTTCACAAGCAGTTATGCTAGCAAGCTAATAATCAATTGGTTTCCGAACAGTAACGACCAAGTTTGTGTAACCACCTATAGCTGCTGATTACTTTCCACAATTTGCAACAAAGCACTGTCCGGTAAGGCAGGTTAATCTTCGACAGATGGAAGAACCTACCGCTGGTGAGAGTGGTCGGAGGAACGAGAAGAGTTCTGGCTTCTTCTCGTCGGGTTTCTTGAAAATTATGCTTATTCCCAGATTCATGAAGGGCGTCGTAAAGTCGATGACGCGTTCCCGTTCGTAGCTTATAGTCAGCATCGCCACGGCTAGATCAGCTTTCTAAAATAAAGAAACATTAGTTGCCGTGAAAACTACATTGATTGTCGATCGGTTGGATATCCAGCCTTCCCCAAGACAGCTCATCACGGGTTACGATTTCGTCATTGTTTGCACAATTCCCCTCACCACACCCACTTCAGTGGATGAGTCACTCGCGGCACCCTACTGACGATGTTAATCCACTTCCATCCATGGACTTATTTAAGTCGGTACATTCAGAGAGATCACTCGGTAATTGGCTGAGGCATTGCAAGCTCTCTGAACGAGGCCCTGCATTGTCCTGCACTAGCGTGGGAATGTGTGGGAGCTGGCGTCTGATGAGGGGTCTCGGGTACCGCTTATCTCAATGAGTGCGTGGTCTTGGCTACGGGCAAAACGTAACACGATCTAGCCTCCAAAACTTGCAAGGCACCATCGTGATCCAAAAGAATATCCAAGCAATACACAGGAGCTGACGGGGGGTTTCTCAACTGTCTGGCCTGATCTGATACCTCGTAATTCCAAGACAGTGCAGACTAATCTGAGAGATTTTTTCCATCTGCGTGGAAATAGTCCTTGAAACCTTCAAATGGTTTTCATGTACAACCGCCCTCCCAGTTTTTCTGGCCAAACAGAAAGAACAAACCACCGTGTGCGCGGAATTCAATAAAATCACCAATTTGGCTTCAAGTCAACTGGACACTCAAAAATAGCCTACTCGGAATTGCAGTTGTCCGATGATTCCGTCCCAGACTTCCTGTCCGTTGACTTTCGTCGCGGTGCCGTAGTTGCCGTCGGTTACGGGGTGGACGGTGTAGTTGAACTCTAGCGCCGAAGCGCATTCGTTGAGGAGGTCGATGCAAAATCCATGCCAGTCCTTGGGGTCAATCGACTTCACGTCGCCTGATGGGCCCTTGTACATCACAAATGGTATCTCCTTCAATGTAGAAAGCCTGATTTTAATGAAAGTCACTAGATCTGTTCGTTGTTTTACTTCGCGAATGCACAAAAGGTTACACAGACGACTCGGTTGTGTCCAGTTGTTTGTCTCTACTTAGAGGCTACATTTCTACATTGGAATTTGAACAAACAGCCAATAGGAACGCAGAGGAATGTGTACTCGATAAACACCGGTATTATCGCAGGGACTTAATTTGTGAAAAGTGGAGTCTCAATTTAAAAAAAAAAAAGTTAAGTTGTCCTAGGATCTTATTTTAATTCAACGAGTTTTGAATCTCGCAAAAATTGCTTTCTGCGAGAGGCAAATACTAACATCTAGAAAGTTTTTTAACGTTTGGTGATAGAGTGGGAAAATGAAGGAAGTTAGTAACACATCACCCGAAAGTTAACGATCAACGCATCTACACGAGCAGTGCCCAAAACTATTTTGAGACTGTTCCTACCAGGCATGACCAAACGTGAATTACGTCTATTCCTGAGTTCGATTCCTGTTCAAATTAACATCTGCACGCACTAATAGTCACCGGCTGACCTCTGCAGTCTCGGCCGGTGTGGTTCTAGGTCACTAAGAATTGGTTCTCCAATTGTATGCAAAGGCGTATTAGGTTGATTTGAAGGTAACAGGAAGATCCAGTAAATGAACTTTTTTTCAAAAAGAGACAATCAATCGTAGCTTTGCAAATTTAACTGCCAGCAGCGTATGCCAGTAAAGGTAGGTGTGAGTTGATTGATGTCGTGGAGTTGCGAAACAATGTCGAATTAGCATTCAAGCACAAGCACATCTGAAATCGATCGACGGTCGAAAGGAACTGAGTCTACACCCGACATCAAAATCAACCTTACTTTCTTTAATTTCATTTTAGAAAGATCACTCTACGTGAGAGACATGAATGAAAGCACGTTGGGTAGTAAAAGGCCTGTAATTACGTTAATTAAAGCACCTTTGTTTAGAAAATGATATAGGAAACAAACCGAGGCGCTACATACAACAATATGTCCAATAAACAATACATACGATTTTCTATTTTCCTACATGAATTTTTGGCAAACTGTTTAGTACTTTTTGGCACTTGTATTTACCATAATTGGGTTTGTAGTTTTCAATTTTGGATCTGTGAGCTTCAATGTCACTGAAATGTGGCTACTATGGGCAGATATTTATGCACAAACAGTAATTGTTCACCCGGACACTCAAGCACTTCTATTGGTCAAATGTGACCTTTGCAGTGGCCAATCAGCCGACCCCATCAGTACCCTATCTAAAGTTAATGTGCTGAGGTGTTTCCTGCTCAAGTATTTAGCAGTTGGAAAATGCAAGTGTAGATTCACCTCGATAGTCGTGACCCGAAGAACCTGCCCCTTGAGTTCCTTTTGAATCTCGGCTTTCGTTGTGGAGAACTCCTTGGTCACGACGAGTTTATCCTTTGCATTCCAATATCCATACTAGCGAGAAGAATGAACAAAAGAGAATTTCATGATGAAGCAGGTACTTGGAGGGATCTTCAAGTTAAAGCTTACAAACACGCGCACGCACAGAATCTTAGTTAATGCAAAATGACAGCGGTATGCAAGATTGTGAAGTTGTGGCCAAGGCAACGCAACGCTTTCCATCGAGCCGTCAAGTGTCATTTTGGACAGCTGTGAAAGATTCAACGTCTTCGTGAACACACCTCAGAGTTTTGTGAAATCAGAGCCACGAGAAGGATCAAAACAAAGCCAGTTTTGACAGGAATTTTCGTACAAGATCCGGACAACGTACACTCCTTAGCCAACTATGTGAAATTCTGACTGCAAGTGATGGTTCAGCATTCCCAAGACTGTGTAAAAACAAGGTTTAAACAATTTCATGCTTTATAGTTTCAACCACGTATGCACATGCCAACTTTGCGTTCATATTAACCGCTCCTTTCCTATTGGTTCGTTCACCTATGAGTGTAATTCTATCCTTTGTTGTACTCAAGGTCGCCCAAGCTTCACGATGGTGGGCGCATCCGAACGCGTACTCGGCATTTGACTGAGGCAACAAAAAGTCTGTGCCTAAGGTTATGTCTTGTCGTGCCCAATTAGGGGATGCGCTGGCTCATACGTGATTTGTCAAGTGCTTGCATAAGGGAAGGGTATAGGGGAAGGCGTTGACGGACTACGCTGAAGGGTTCGCATGCGTACGTTTGGGATTTCGTATCTGTGTTCTGGTAGACCATAACACGGATCCTAGGGGCTACCTCTAATGTTTGCGAAAGGTGATTTCACTCAAGGGAACTCAGACCCTTTATAACTGTACATGCTCCCATTCTCGTCAACCGTTTTCTCTAATCCACTGGGAATTGTAGAAATTAACGTTTGTATACCGAAGCTCTCCTGTCAGTGGCCAGGTATTAGACTGACACTTTTTTAGCTAAAAACCTGCCTCGGTACTGGTTTAATTTAATCAGTCAAAATCAGATTTCTCGGTTATGTATGTGCGAGAAAATGACTAGTGTGTTGAGCTAAGCCTGATGTGTACAATTTCAGTAGGCACGAAGCAGGTTAGTTTTAGTTCCCTTTGGGGCTACAAATAAAATTCGCTAAAAAATTTAAGGAATTCTTGAAATCAGCTTCAGTTTACTTTGTAGATGTTAATTTCATTGCGATTTTAACAGCCCTACAAACGATTGTGTTTAAATTTGCATTTTTGAATCATTCAAATATCAACCCGAAATTACTTAAATAGCATTTTAGGCTTGGGAAAAGAAGAAGCACGGTTAGGGATGCTAAGGGAACAAAAAATTACAAAAAATTGTAAATTTTGGAACAATTGCCCACTTTTAAGCTCACTAATGTCATTTTTGCTTGTTTCAATGTACGAATTTGGACACTACCGCGTTTTTTATCTTCACCACAGACCAAAAGACCCCTCGAAGTTCAGTTACTTCGAAAAGGGTAAGTGACAAGTTGGCCGGGAAAGCCTGACGGCTTCCAGGATCGGCCCGCCGACACCAGTGGCAGAACAAATTCCGAGAACTTCAGATGTCAGTCGCTTCAAGTGTTCACGAAATTTCAGAAAAACTTCGGTATACCTCGACAATGCATCAAACAAGAAGCAGATTACTTTTTTGGCCAAAGCGACCACGTTACACCAACCTCGACGTTAGTTTTAATTACCGTTAACGTCAAGGAAATTCACTTACGTCCAAAACACCCTCCTTATTCATCTCCAGAATGGTGATGTTGGTATTCTTTCGTCGGCCATCGGCGGTGAATTCAACGTACCCGGTTGAACCACGGAAGTCTTCTCCCTTGACCTAGGAATGCAAACAGGTCTGTGGAACCTATCTCATGGTTTGATTAGGCTTCCGATTATCAAAACGATCGATTATTAAGTCTGCTTGGAAACTACTGCATTCCCAACCAACTGAACACAGAAGCACAATGCAGTCTCGTTGTGTGGCTGCATTATGCAAAAATTACGTATTTGACTTACGACGTGGTCCCAAATGCCTAATAAAGTAAGCAGGAATAGTATTTATCCAATAATGGACGTTGATTTTGTTGTTCAAGCTAAGCGAAATCAAAATGTCATAATAAGTTTGTGAAATAATCTCTAACGACGTGGAGAATTTAAACAAAATCCAGAACTGTGTTATTTCCTTGTCGAGAGTCTTAGATTGCAGAAATGTAATGGGCACTACCTCGCTATCAAATAAAACGTAAATTCTGATTGGTCGTTTCATGGCTGCTGCGAAAACTGCCAGTTTTAAAACCAAATCCCCCCACCTTTCGTTAAAATAGCTTATCTTAATTAATAATGCAATACCCATCATTTTCCACATCTGTTTCCTGCCGTTTTACGAATTTAGAATTTCTTCACTGCAAGAAATTCGTTGAGGAGTTTATGAGTCGAAGTTTTCGACTCTTAAATTATTTTGTGAACAATGAAGCGGATGAACTATCTGAAGGTGCAAAGTGAAGGAAATACGATGGGTGATTGTGGCGCATTTCTCATTTTAACGACCCGCCTATTTGCGCTGACTGTTGAGAGATGTATAATCTAACGTCGCCATGGTGACAAATGAAGCCCTTTCAATCGGCAGATTGCGCAGTTTTTGCTTGGATTTCAAAACCTACTTTGTGGTCACGTGGAAGCAGCTCGTGCAAACTGATTCCTCTGCAATCCCCCCAACCCACCACAACCATGGCAACACCATCGTTGGATGAAGCAGCAAAAACGTCTGACATAGATTTTGTCCATGCATTGTCAAACTGTCAGGGCCTTTTTCTTGCCATGTTGCAAAACACAAATCATGTTGCTTCATTGTTGGCAATAACGTGATCCACAAAATATTCGTTTTGTTGACCATCAGGGAAGATGGGTGGCTGTGCAAACACCACTTCGTTGCATTCTATTTACCATTTTGAATGTTCGCACAAGCCCACAGCTTAATTTAAACAAACTGGCTTGGGAGCGTACTACCATGCGACGCATTCAGACAACAGTTGATTAATAATGCAGTTATAAACGAAACATAACAGTCAAAAGTGCGCGATTACACAAACCTTTGAGATCTTCCAATACTGCATAATATAAGGTATCGTTTTTATTGTATAGAATTTAAAAATTGGGCGCTTTGCCAGTGCAAGCTTTTACTCGCATTTGAATTAATTATTTCTGATTTGCATTCAACACGCCGTAAATTCAATTTTATTCCCTGGGCACTATAGGGAATAGTAAGGGAGAATGGTGAAGGAAAGACAATAAATGGCGTGAAATTTTAGAGCGTGTTGTTAATCGCACTGATTCACACCCGTTAATCCGATCACTTCAGCCTCCGACACAGGATCCCCCCTTACGCAGAATGTCACCAGCCGCGCCAATCCTCAACTCTCCTCTCATTAGCACGAATATTTATCTTAGAGTATCCCTACACCTAGGTCTCGATGTTAGCGCATCCATTACTAACACATCTGAGGTATAAATGCACACGCGCAAACCCACACACGACACAACGGCATCAATGTGGTTGAGCTCTAAAGTAAACGGTTGTGTCTACGTTCGTCCCGGTCTTTTTCTTCATCGCGGGTAGCAGGGAAGCGCAATCGGGCCAGGGTTAATTCCGTGGCCCCGGCGTGGTTCAAGACCACATGCTGGGGCCCACAGCTGGACATTTATGCGGGTGCCTTGTATGTGACGACCTAGATTTGGACAAGGTACATGTTGTTATTAAAAAGAGGGAGTATCCGGACCACAGGCCTTGTCTTCCCAGGTGACCTAAACCTACCGATTTGATCTCCGTCAAAAGTGCGGATCCGAGGGTCCAGCCCTCTGCAGAGTCACACGACAGACCAACTGGCGGCTGAAGATCTGTAGCGTTGGCAAGGCGGGATATTCCAAAGGCCAGAAGATTCAACGTATCCAGGAGTAGGAAATAGTACGTCTACAGGAGAAAATGCAGCCAATAAAAGGCACCCAGGTGGTAACTTGGACCAAACTGCCGTGAAAATAGTCTGATGAGTTTCTGTGTTGCCCCTTGAAGTAACAGAAAAAACCTGGGTGCATTGGTAAGGTGGGTGAAGTTTGTTTAAAACAAAACTTTACATAGGGTCTCAGAGATGACATTTTCGGGAATTGACGATTCACGTGAATTTCTGTGGTAAGCTGAAGAGAGTAGAGAATGAATAGTAAAAAAGGAGGGACAACGAACAGTCTGATCAAATAGGCAGCAAATTCGCCTATTTTTAAGTGAAAAAGACGATTTCTGGCGTGACAAATCACGTCCTACCCATTTTCACGCACTGCTCGTTCTCAGGTGACGAAAATTAGATTCACACGTTTTCTGCAGGTGGAAGCTGCTTTTTCAAATTTTATTGCCTTAAAATGAAAATTCGTGCCAACATCTGCTGTTTTTTAAGCGTTTTATCCGCTTAAGACCGCTGTGAGTTTGTCTTCGTAAGCCGAGATAATGCCACTTTGATGCAAGTGACTGACGTCTACGCCTGAATTGATGTGTTGTTGTCGCGTCGATTGGCTGTAATGGCGATCGATAAGTAAATCGTCAACGAGCGTCATTCCCATTGGCTACAAGTTGGTTGTACATAATGACGATTGGTTGGCTACTGTACACTGACTGTAGCCTTCCACGAAAAGTGGAACATTCCCCAGGCTCAGTGGGCGAATAAACGGGGGTATTAGAGATGAGTCATAATTCAAAGCCGTGAAGTAATTTTACAGTGGTCGCCATCCCTCAGTGTTGAATTTGGAGGGTAAAACACCTTTTGTGGGCCTGCGAAGTCCGTTGGAAAATCACCTTAACTTGCAAATACCGCAGAAGCATCTGCCCAAAGGCAAAAGCATAGTTAAAATCTTACAAGGCTGTCTCGGGCACCGGAATGGTGTTCTTCCTGACCTTCCAAGAAGCTCACAGCCCTGGAATCACCCAGACTCTCCTCAGGAAGTGTCTGATAATTGAGACCAAGTAAGGGCAGTAGTGAGAGAGCAGAGAAATTGGCACCTTTGTCCACGGAGAATGCCTTGGGATCCGTAAATTGGGTATCCTGGAATCACAATTCAACTCATTTAACCCTGGAAACTCATTTATTGTCGTGAATTTGCTGTTTGTCTTAATAGAAAATGCCTCTCCTTAACTTCGCATGTCATCCTGCAATTAGGAACCCTTCTACTGCCGTCGACGCTTCCATTCTCGTTGCACAGAGAGGACAGGAGTTGTGCGCAGGCATGAAACTACGTGCACAAGTTGCCAGTAGTAGATGTCATTCTTGAACCTTCTCTAAATAGTCTATTTTACGTTTGAATTTAAAAATAAGGAGTCTGAGACATTGTCATATTACGGAACACAGCCCAGGTGTTTAATGAACACACAGGAAAGTCAACGAACCAACGAATAACTTCAAGAAAAATTATGCTTTCGGTGAATTATCGAGTTAGTATGTCAGGAATTCGAAATTCGTTGAGGATGAGTTTATACACAGCAAAATTCCACTTACCCAGTCAGTAAATATGTAACTGTAGTACTGATCAGTCATGTTGTACTCGTCAATCTACAAGGCAAAATCGATGCGTACGAATCGATTAATCGGCAAAGGGGTAGCATGACTTGAGACACGTGGAAACCCTTCTCACCAGGTTCAGAAATTCCTCTATTTCCGACCGTGGAATGTCGACTACAAAACGATTTTGCGATCGAGTTGTCATGAAGTACTTGATGGTGTATTTGGGTGTCAAACCGGCAGTGTTGAGCCGCCTTACAATCAGTTTGCCCCGGAATTTGGACAAAAGTCCCTCGTACTTCACGAGACCTGAATTAAAAAAGAGAAATATTTAAATGATTAATGATTGACGCAAAAACTGGGAAATTCATTGGGCAAAATTTACAGTAACTCCTTCTAAAATAAACACATACTGATATCAAGGTGTGCTACGCATGTGAAGGTTATGTAAAAGTTTCGAATGATTTAAGATGAACAACGTTTTAGAACAGGGATCTAAAAATATTTAAATGTCATTTTAATTTTGGGAAAAAGACGAGGTGCACAATCGACCAATGAGAATCGCCCAAGATGGAACCAATAATTTTTTCTGTTCCTTGGAGCAAAAACATGTGATTCTCAGCTTGTTTTAATGTAACAGATACACCCAAGGTCGGATTGCGACTCCGAAATAGCCTATTAAAACAAGCTGGAAAGTCGATTTTTTTTTCTTGAAACTACTTGCACGCACATTCTGTCGAAAATTTACTATTAGATTAGAATTTATTTTGCCTAAATCGTACGAGTTGAAAAAAGTGACTTGTTGGTTTGTAAACCTTCATGATAGGTCAGATAAAAGACCTCATTAAAACACATCAACAGTCCAATCAGGATCATCCTCCTGGGAGCTGACCAAATTCAGGTTTAGTCTACCTAAAATGCCAGACATCCAATCGAGACACATAAATGTGTCTGCAAAACATTCTGTGTGAAATGTCTGAGTCAGAGCTGTGTCAGGGTTCTTTTTCCACCCTAACCTGCTCAATCCTCTCGTCAACAATTATTGTCTTTGGAGTAAATTAATTGCAAAATTTTTACGACAAATTTTAGTTTGCTCCCCTCCCCACCGCATTGTAATTGGCGAATTCCAAGTTATTGATTTACGAGCACGCTCCACGACGAAGCCTAAAGACCATTTCTAGAGGTCTTTGTTATTTTAGACAAACTGGACACGGAAAAGTGATTTACTGTCATCGTCGGTGTAGATGAAGCCCAACTGATCCCATTCCTCGGCGACATGGAGAAAATCGACCAGAGCTTGACCGACGTCCTCGCTACTTGGATGTAGGTTGATGCTGTGGTTGAGGAGGTCTTCATTCGCGTTCACGTCCCATTGCGCCAGCAGATATGGAATGGAATACTTCTGACTGATCAACCGGGCCTGTGTCGAGGTGCTGGGACCGTCTGGGCCAAATACGGCCACGACCTGCTCGGCAAGCAGTTCACAGGCTGCCAGAGGAGAAACAGTCAAAGTGAAACTAAATTTTGACGTAGAAACGAGTGTGTGAGAGTCAAACGATGGTCAAAACTTCACTTCTAGCTGTTCTGATGACCTGGACAGGCGAGATAATCGTGGAATTGCGCCCGCTTAACCAATGGCGGCGTTGAGAAAGGTGGGTAAATAGCCGGAGTGCTTGGGCAAGCGTTGACAGAGACGATGAACGTGATTCATCACGATTTACTACACGTGTGGTCGGAATGTAGTCCAGCTGTAAACTATTACCCCATGGCCTAGAAGTTTCTGCCAAGAAAGCTGCCCCATTTTAAGACTGATCCCCAGTACTCGTTTAAACGTCTTATTCAGGGCTGTTGAGCGTCAGAAGGCTAAAAAATTCCCTTTCCCCCAACGTATCCCTTCTCATTACTTTTCCTGCTCATCCAAAATGCACTTTTCCGCCTGGGCAGCGGCGACTGCATTTAAAAACACAACAAAAATTGAGAAGAAGCAGGATACGCAAAGAAAGCGAGACAAACTTGCTGTCGCAGCTGCGAAGGTGTCGCCGACTCCGATGCTCCTCACAATCGGGTTCAACGTCACCGTTTGGGGGGGACAGCAGTGCGTCCTGGCTGACTTGTAGTTTGCGGCTTGGAAGGCCTTATGGAACGCTGCCTCCCGCTCAGGACTCGAACCCTCCAAAATCACACCTAGTGGTACAAAAATCACACACAAAATAAACAAAAAATGACTCCCTATACTGAACATTGTGAAGTTTGTTCAAGGAAGAGGGGATGCAAACGACGTTGTCAACCAACCACTTTGACGGAATCGTGCCCAGCTAGTTGTTCTGCATGTTTGATGAGTTAATTTTAAATAAAATATTTTAATTATGATAAATACAAAACATTTAATAACCAGTAAAGTCCAAGTTTCTCTATCTTCCGTGGCCGAAAAGAAAAATTTTATTTTTGCGGTGGAAACTGTTCCTGACAAGAAAAAAAATTTAAAAATGTTTGTGTCGAATTTGCACATCTTTGCAGAACAGAACGCCTCATCTGTAAGTCTGAGAGGCAAAAGCTCAGTAGAAGGCGAAACAAGGTTTGAACGCAGAATCCCCAAACGGTACCGTCTGAGTTCCAGCTATGCATTGAAATTCATGCAAAACAAACCACAATACACAGATTTGGTTTCGTGGAAAGATTAAACAACCAAAGTTAAGTCAAGCGCAAAAAGAGTCTCCTTTTGGGATAATAGATTAGGTATCGATTAAGAACACACTTCAAGACAGCTACAGAATGATTGGTGGGTGCCCCTAAAGGTCAGAGGTCACGTGGTTGATAAATTTGATACAAGAAATATACAAAATTGCAAAATGTGTCGAATTTCTTTGCAAATGTTTCCAAATGCACTAGGTAGTGCCAAGTTAGCGAAGAATTTGTCAGTACGTGACTAAGAGATACACCTTAACGACAGAAAGGCCCTGTTCGAACCTGATTTCCGCAAGCATAAGCGATAAATCTGGGATAGAATTTCCCAGAACCGAAGGTATAATGAAAGTATGTAAACAGGTGTTAGTGCAAATTTCGAAAAACCATATTCTCAGACAATCCAACTTTAACTGCCAATCAAATTTCCTACCACAATTTGTTTGGTTACGGAATGAAAAGTGTACTTAAAGAGAAGCTCTTGGCAAAATCTGACTCACTCCGTTGTAAATATAATTTACAAGACTCGATCACGGCTCAACCTATTCGACTTTGCCATTTTTAAGAAATTCATTATCAATGTCTGTCTGGTGTTTACTGCGACTGTGAATGTTCAAAAAAGATTTACCAATAAATCTTACCGACATTTAACTGGATGCCCTGAACTGCGCATAATATCGCCAGTTGGAGGCAGACAGCCAGCATTGCTATTAGAACACCTGAAACACACAATTCAGAATTTAAATTAAAATTATTCAGTCCGAAAGTCTCCAAGCGACGTTCACTACCCAATTGAAACAATCACGTTGAGCTCAGTAAAACTATTTCCTATGGCGAAAACCTAGATACCTTGCCATCTGCACTTGCTAAAATTAAATGCATTAAGAGACTGAAATTTTTTCATCTTTTAACAGTTCTGGTGATCCAAGAATTGTTTGGGGATGTCGGTTCTCTACCACCAAGAATGACGGATAGATATTTGGGACTCCTCGCTGTGCTGTAACATAATTTGAGTTACGAACACATCAGTGTTAAGCCAGACAAATAGTCACATAGCTAGCAAATACGTTGGTTGGAATATGACTTACTTGCCCACCTTTTACGAGACCTTCAAGGTGCGAAAACTGGACAAATTCGCTTGTTTTGGGAAAGGGATAGGAATGCTGAAGCCGATTCACCCGAAGCAGGAAAAAAAATTGACGTTTTTTTGTGAAAAAAACAGAGGTCAGTGTTTGTGGGTTGTGCTGTGTAAAAAATTTTGCACCTACGAAGAACCACTATGGGAGCCGTCGACTTTTCCCTGCTTTCAAAATGGGCGACAGCAGATCGGACAGTGATTGGTAGTTAGCTCTTCCAAGAAAACCCGTTAAACCTGACTGATTTAATGTGAGTTTGTGGCTTCTAGGTTACATTAGGTACGAAAGTTATATTAAATTCCCGTAGTCGTTTTAATGTAACAGAAACGGCAATAGAAACACCAATTGGTTTATTGCGATTTGGGTTGCGTATAGCAACTCAGACCATCCAAGGTCTTATTTTTCATGCCCTTTATGATTTGGATTTTGTGTTTTCCACGAGTACGGGCTAGTAATCAACTTGCTTGGCAATTTGGAACTAGACTTCCCATTCCAGTCGCTCGTCCACGGCGGTATACAAGTTCAGCGTTCAACTCAGACGCGGTTTTAAGCCGTTCTCCGAGGGAAAATTGAGGCTACATTCCTCAAACAGATTCTAGACACTCCTATTTAGAAAATTCAGTGGCAATGCAAAATCTATTCAGCGCCATAAACTGTATGACTCTCGCACCGATAATCCACTACACACTTAAATACTGACCAGTTAAAGATTTCGCACCTAGCCATGGCTAAAAATATACTACCACGTGTAGGAAAAAAAGTGTTAACAGACAAGTTAGGAGCGTCAAAGCCAAGTCACACGTCGCTTGTACGGCATACTGACTTACAAGTCTTCCTCTCTGGAGGATATGGAGCAAATGCCGGCAGCCTGAAGGCAGAGTGAAGATAAGCGTGTGTGTGGCAACTTATTCGGCTCGATTTAGTCACGTGGTAGCATGATTAGCGGGCAACACCGGCCACATAGAGCACGCGAAAAGCAGTTGGGAGGGTGAGAGAGAGAAAGTCAATGGCTTGATCTTCGCGCGTTTCGTTTTCGTGTGTGTTGATCGCGTGCAAGCTCCATTGGCCAATCAAAAGCATGAATGGCTGGCCAATCATGTTCATCCAGTTACAAGTATGAAATCCTTTTTTAGCAACCCCATTGCAACCTCGCTGTTCGGTGTGTTGCGTTATCTGGAAATAGGTGGCATCGCACTGGATATCGAATTTTGAACCACAAACTACAACTTACATAGTTAATGCAACTAGTTCGGCTGCTCCGTAAAGGTAAAGCACTCTTCTAGATATAACTATCGAGTGTTATTTGTAGTTTAGCCAGCTTCTAGCTGTAGTTGTGATTGGCTGATGATTGTCATGTATATCAACTTGATAATACATTTGGCGCTTGCTCAGGCGAGCACAATTTACGCACGATTAAATTTTAGTTACTAAACACATCACTTCACTGAGAACAAACTGGAATCCAGAAAACATCAAGTTCATTCAAGTGTTTCGAAATTACGTGACACTCTACCAACACTAAAGTAAGCTGCCAAAGTTTTCACCAGGCACTAACAGTTAGAATAGCTGCATTCTTAGTACACGTAATTTCTTTACTACTTCACCCCAACATCAATTCTGATTCTGCCTCCAGCGACTGTTCCGTTCAGATGACGTCACCTGGTTTCGAGGCTGAGACGCTGTGAACACTCCCAGACAGTGTAGATTCGGAAACGCCACAAGGCATTAAAATATCTGCCACGTGCGGCGTCGTATGATGTGGAGCGTCGACTGCGCCACAAATCTGCACGTGGTTACTCCACATAAACGGTTTGGAAATTGGGCGCCACAGGCATTTCTGCTTGTGGTTGCCTCGTTATGTCTGACTTGGACCTTTCAAGTCTGGTCTAGCAGCCTCTGATTCCGCTAGATCAAAAGGTGGCCACTCAAAGAGATACAAGTGTTGAGGAAAGTGTTAGGATTGGATCATGTCCAAATAAACGTCATTCTCAGTCTTCCGAAGCCTAATTTTCACTATAAACAGAATAAAAGCGTAGGCATCTATCTCCCGATTTCCAAACTACCATTTATTTACTCCATTTCAATCAAAATTGAGACGTGATAAAGCTGCTGCGTTTATTTTGAGACTGAAACTAGCAAATATGCGTCGCAGTCGTGTAAAATGCCATTTTTAATTTAGGAAAGATGGTGTCTACAACTTTAAAATGGCAATAAAAATCACGGCTTTGTTTGTAAATATCACCAGAAACACATTTCCCTTTTCTTAACCAAATAGCACGAGTGGCTCTATCTTATGTGCATTATTATAATATTTTACCATTAAACATGGCAGATGCGCGCACTTCATCGCATTTGCATTCGCTTCCAACATCCAAATACGTGTGAACATGTGTATGTGACCAGAATTTCAGATTTTCACACGTAATTATATGCGTAATTTAAAATATCCGGCAGAGCCTTCATTCCTATCTGCCTGGTGATAATTGGTGTGTTTGAGGGGTTACTTCACAGCTTTGATAGTTAGCACGCCGTAACAATCCGATAATCAATAGGAAGGACTCTACTTGGACCATGTGGATGCAATGTATTATACCTTTTCCCAGCCTCTTCATTTAAACGGCCAACTAAAGGTTATGTTAAATTCCCAAGGGCGGTAACATGCTCAGGTTTTAGCCTGGGCTGAATGGGCTTCGGATTAAACTATGCGGCAGCGAGACGACCACTAAAAGGCCAGCTTCTCTGCAATGCAGCTAGACGATTGGTCCTTGCCTTCGGCAACCACCATGCGCGTGTGTGATTCAAAATAGCCCACCAGCATGATTGAAGTTTACCCGACCTTGAGGCGACCACCAACGTTTGAACTTTTGTGCATTATTTTTAACCAATTTCAGCCAAACCTTTTAAAAACAACACCAATTTAATAATTTCGAGAATTTCGCCGCGCGTGTTTTACTGGCCAATCAGACATCACCTTTGTGTATGACGCTTGAGTGAGAAGTTGGAAGCAGTACATACCTATCGTATTAGGAAGAAAATATCAATCGCACCTACCATTATCGCATCCTAAGTATCGATTGTTTCCTGATTTCTTCCCTTCTAGTTGTGTAGAAGCATCGTAAAGCCCCTTTAACTTGTTTCCGCATCCGTTGGATTGTGAAGCTTATGCCGGTGGTTCCGAACTTGTGGATTTACATGATAATAAGCTGCTTATCATTAATTCCCCCTTAATGGGCGATTCCAGGCCCTGGCGCATGAAAAATTAGACACGGTTTGCATGGTCCAATGTCCGAAATTGGTTAATCAAAAACAACGGAAATGTAACAACCAGAAGTGTAGTTTTTAGAGCCTTGTGCGAAGGCAAGACATGTACGCAGTCAAATTTTCACAAACTAGACTCCTCTGTGTTCGCGCGTGGAATAATCGA